GACTCAGGGATTGAACCCAAGTGTCCTACACTGGCAGGCAGGTTCTTTACCATTGAGACACTGGGCAAGCCCAAGGTTCTTGATAATCCCTTCCAAACTCCAGGATCGTGTAGGTGACCTCTCAGATTTTCTTTGGTCCTCATCCCCTTGACAAGGGCCACCTCCTCCCTCCTGGCTCCGCCAGGCATTCTGGTTCTTAGAAGCAAGAAGCCTTGAGATGAGGGCTTCATAAATCTGCCCTTTTCTGCATGCACCCCTCTCAGGCCTGGTCTTCCCACATTGCTGTGCTCAAATATTCTAGAATTGACACTTCCCCCTCTTCCCTTTGGCTGACCTGCATCCTGGCACGGTTTCTATTACTTGGTGTGTTTCCATGAACACCTGGCTGGGCAAGGAGGGACAGCCTGTATTCCTCCCAAGCCAGAACATTCATGTGAGGCATTGGAGAGCATCCACCAGACTCAACAGATCGACTTCATGGTGGGCAATTGTAAGGCCAACACTGAAATGAACAAACCGTCTGCACACCCCTTCAAGATGGTCTTGACAGTTTATTCTTTCTCCCATTAAGTTTTGGTGTGGTGAATCTTTGGTGAGCAGCTCATTCTTGCAATAAAAACAATGCAGAAGATAACTTTTATTTTTAGTTATAAAAAAATTTAAAAAAACAAAACCACTCTCCCCCCCACCGCCCGCCCGCCCGCCCGCCCGCCCCTGCCTCCCATCTTCTGGCCACATAGCATGTGGGAATCTCAGTTCCCCAACCAGGGATCAAACTTGTGCCCCCTACAATGAAAGTGCAGCATCTTAACCACTGGACCACCAGGGAGGTCCCAAAAGATAATTTTAAAAAGAGACATATTGTTGGATTTCAACCTAGCTTATTTAGATTTTTAGCATAACTGTTGTATTGAGGGTTTAATTCAAGTGAGGTCTTGTGAGGCCTTAAACAGATGCAGCTTGGGGATCTTTTTCTTGAGAGAAAGAGTTAAACATTATAAATACAGAGAGCTGCAGGCCCTCTGTGCAGGGGTCAGGTCGGCACTGCGTGGGGGCTCAGTGTTTGAAAGAATTGAAGTGAGGCAACCTGCCCATCCTCCGGCTCTGGAACTTTGCAGTACCGCCAGGTGGCAGTATTGTACCAAATGTGAGAACGTGACCTCCAGGGAAGCTGTGCACCCCATCTCAAGGGACATCTGTACCTGTGCTTTGAATCCCATCCTGTGCTCACAACTGCTTAAGGCTCCATGTGTGACATTTCTCTTGGCAAAACGATCTGGTTTCCTTCCTTCAAACTCGGAAGGTTTACTGAAACCTTCAGGGTCGTCCATGCAGGTGACATCAACACAAGTATTACTGTCATGGTGACAAGAGTTTGCTCCTTAAGCTTCTAATACACTTCCCCCTCTGTCTTATGGTAATTTCAAGTTGCATTTATGATAAAGCAAAAAGTGTTTTCCATAACTTCTTCCCAAATAATTTTAAGGAGCTTTGGCTCTTCTAATGTTTTTAACCATATTAGACTTTATCTACATTGATCTTCTAGCCATACAGTAACCATATCCCATCCCTGTCCCACTATATTTGACATGGTTTTCAGACACTCACACTTGCTCCATGCTCTGGGGAGGGATTCAGTCTATTCATCTAATGCAAATGGGCAAATGCTCTTCCTTTCTTTTCCCATCCCTCAAACCTATTTTTTGTTTGTTTCTTTTTTATCCCATTAAAAGATACCAGTTGGGTATTGGCCACTTTGTGACTCAAGTTTTAGGTTTAAAGGCAAAGAAGTAGCTCAGTCTCTAAATCAGTCTCTCCTGAGAGCTGGCCTCAGAATGCCAGTGGGGTTTTCTGTTTATTAAACTTGTTTATATCAAGCACATTTATAGCCATTTTGTAAAAGTTATCAAATACAGCATCTTACAAGGCTATATTGAAGAATAAAGAAAAAAACTTCCAAGCTGAACATTTCACACGGTCACATACTTGAAAATAGGTCAGTGAGAATCCTGCTAAACTCAGAAACCAATATTTTAACTAGAATTTTTAAAAAGTTTTTTAAAAATCTGGACCATTCAAATTATTTATTGAATTTGTTACAATATTGTTCCTATTTTGTTTTGTATTTTTTTGGCCACAAGGCATGTGGGATCTTAGCTCTTCCACCAGGCATTGAACTCTCACCTCCTGTATTGAAAGGTGAATCTTAACCACTAGACCACCAGGGAAGTCCCTCTAACCAGTCTTTTAACTTGCTCTTTATCCCACATATGTGGGAAAGACTATGGGAACTGCCTTCAAAACTTTAAAACTGACAGTGTAAGTTGATGGCTGGTTTATGTACAAAGAGTACATGAGAGTCACCCTCATGGATTACATACATGCTTCTCATTGGCATCCACTTTACAAAATAGGAACTCTTTAATATAAACTGCAGCAGGAGGAGATTTTACAGTGGTTCTGACTTTAAAAAAATAAAATCAGCATGATAGCTAAAGTAGGTGTTCTGACTGTATATCTAATTTTAAAAATCCAATTAACACCAAGAGTGACTGGAAAGGATTTGCAAAATGTTTCTACCAAGAAACTCTTCTTAAAAGCTTCTTACATGAGAAAGATCAGTCAAAGTAGTTTCCATCCTATTCATTAAAAGAAAAAATTTCTAACCACTAAATATTCCTATTAGGAAAAGAGAACAAACTTCTTTGCAGGCTGCAGAAGTCCCCACCCACCCCACAACGTTTGATGCCCCCCATCATTAGCAGGGTAGCTGCCCATTTCTTATCTTGATTGACAGGTTAATACGGGTCCTGGGGCTATCTTTTCAGCAGGAACACACAACCTTACCAATTACTTTTAAATTATTGCTAATCTGTCAGAAAATAACAAGCATGGGGAATAAAAATATCTGAAAAAGAGAAATGTCGGTTGAAGAAGCATTTACTTCCGGTGTTTGAAAAAGTTCGGTTCAGAAAACTTGCCAGAATTCAGTCAATAGAATTTAGGCACTGAAGGTTTTTTTTTTTTTTTTTAAGAAAAACTTGTAGTTTATAATAGTTCATTGGTTCAATTAGGAGCGAAAAAGAAGGGAGTTTTGTAATGCAATTGTCCAGCAAAGGAAAACGCTTGAAATTGGGGGATTATGTGCACAGACCACCTGTAGGGCATTCAGAGCCCTTTTCTATAAAGCTTCAACTCATGCCTAGCTGCCTGCAGGCTGGCTAACAATGCCGGGAAAAGCTGTTTAAAAGGCTGCGGGCACTTGTGCCTCTGGTCTTCACTAACTGTTACAAGTCTTCCTCTCCCTGGCTCTCTCTCCTTTTTAAAGTAAAAGTCCCACATCCCTTTCATGGAAGAACTTTAAGGCTCCGCGGTGGCCAATTGGTCTGCACGAAGAGGAGCCCGGCCGCAGGGAAAGAAACTTCAGACTATACAGCACATTTGGAGAGGAGAAAAGATCAAAGTTTTTCCAACTCAAAGGACCAAGTTCCCTACAGATTAACCCTATTCATTTGGCTCCTCTTAAAGGAATGATGTGCTGAGCCACTGGGCAGACAGGTAAAAAGTTCAACAATTGCCAAAGCATTCTTCTGCTAATTCAACAGCCTTCTGCTCAAATAAATTAGCTTAGTCTTGACAGAGGAACAATAGCTTTTTTCTCTAGGAAAAGAAGCACATTTGATATACACAAGCCTGGAAGGTTATTAAGATGTTAACCCGTTAGTTTAATCCATTAAAGAGCGCCTGTTCCACCACCGGATTGTCGAGTGACTTACACTGTACAGTGTGATCGATGGCTGAAAACATTAACCTCTACCCTTCAGCAGTGTGTTAGGTCTTGGAGGAGCAGGTGCTTTCAAAATCACGGAGGACGCGAGAAATGAGTGTGGGGTTTGAAGCCTTTAGTGATATTATACAAGATAAATAACAAGGCCGGAGTGGAACTGCACCTTGCAAAAGTTCCATTTACATCGACTAAGGTGAGTGGTGTCCATGGATCAGAAAAGAGCTATCATTAAAAACACCATCTTTTCGGAAAGGTGCAAAAACCCCAACTTGGATTTCAGTTTAACAGTGATATTTACTTTGCTAACAACTTAGGAACTCGAGTTTAACAGGTAATTTTTCTTCATGCCTAAGGTCAGTGTACATAATGAGAAACCAGAAAACGTCCGTGTTTCGGAGGGGCCCTCCACAAGCACTTTCAAGGTAACAGTTTAGAAGAGGCAGGGGGAGAGGGCGACGGTTAAGTCATTTATCAAAAGTCATTTTATTGACAAAATAGAATACTTATATTTGTTCTTACAGGGGTGGCCTCTAAACTTTTTACAGAAAATGTACAGACTGTATATCTTTGGGTATGTACATATTTTACACATTTTTACAATTTAACAAATAATTATATTTATAAATACATCCTCTAATGTAAGAAACCCGTATTTACTTGGGGTGTATAATTAAGACATTTCTTGTTTGTTTACTTAAGGCATTTGCCTGGTCATTAAGAATACCCAAACCGTGCAATCCCGTTAGGTCGCGCTCATCCCGCCTCTAGGACGTGTTAGGAGTAAGAGTTTACGGAGCAGAGTCGAGGGAGAAAACTTAGGTCCCTCAGGTGAAATCTGTAGGTCTGGCTTCAAGCTCAGCAAATGGCAACCAGAGAGGGCTCCAAACCCTGGGTCTCGGAAACGCAGCCGCGGGGCTCACCCTCCCCTGCCCCGCCAACAGAAAAGAAGCCTGGCGGGAGAAACTCCTCGCCCGTCGGTAGAGGAAAGGGGGTGGGTCTGGGAGGCTTCAATGCCAGGTACTTTGTTCTAAGCGAGTCCCAGCTAATGGATACCATTAAGAGTTCATTATGATGCTAATAGCAATCAACACGGGGAAGGGGTGGAAACCTCTGCCTTCGAGTGTCCTCCTCCCAGCCCCCCAGCCCCCCAGCCCCGCAGCACTCCGTCTCCTCGCCCCCTCCCCATCCCTCGCGGGCGCACCCTCCCCTCCGCTCAGACCTGGGACAATGGCATCTGCTTTGGATAGGACACCGAGCTGGCCGTGCCAGATCGCCACGTCAGGCCGGTGCTGACGTCGCTGTAGAGGGAGCCCGCCCCGCCGGCCCCCGGCCCCCCGCCCCCGCCGGCCCCCAGCCCCCCGCCCCCCGGGCCGCCGCCCGCCGCGCCCGCGCCCGCCGCGCCCGCGCCTTTGCTGGCCCAGCAGCAGCGGGTGCACAGCGCGCGCCACGACTCGAGCGTCTTGCCGGACCAGACCCACACGCCCGAGGTGATGCCCACTACCAGGCACATGAAGTACTTGAGCATGAAGACCGCGTAGTCAGGCCGGCGCGCCTGGTCGGGCTGTAGATCCCGCAGGCACGGGCAGTTGTGCGTGGCCTCCCAGCGCGGGCGGTTGTGCTGCTCGTAGAAGAGGCAGGCGACCACCACGGCGGCGGGCACGGTGTAGAGCACGGTGAAGAGGCCCAGGCGGATCATGAGCTTCTCCAGCTTGTGCGTCTTGGTGGGGCCACCCTGCTGCTTGATGACCGAGCGGATGCGGAAGAGCGACACGAAGCCGGCCAGCAGGAACATGGTGCCGATGAAGAGGTAGATGACCAGCGGCGCCAGCACGAAGCCGCGCAGGTTGTCCAGGCTCTGGTTGCCTACGTAGCAGATGCCTGCCACCGGGTCGCCGTCCACCGAGCTGAGCGCCAGCACGGCGATAGACTTGACGCTGGGCACGAGCCACGCGGCCAGGTGGAAGTACTGCGAGTAGCCGGCGATGGCCTCATTGCCCCATTTCATGCCCGCCGCCAGGAACCACGTGAGCGACAGGATCACCCACCAGATGGAGCTGGCCATGCCGAAGAAGTAGACCAGCAGGAAGACCACGGTGCACAGCGCCGGGCCGGTGGTCTCGTAGCGCACGTGCTGCTCCACGGCGCCCAGCTCCTCATACTCGCCGCGCCCACCCGGGCCCCCAGCGCCGGCTCCCGCCGCACCCGCGCCCGCCGCCGCGCTCCCCGCGCCCCCGGCCCCGCCCGCAGCCCCAGCGCCGCCGCTGCACGCCACCTTCTCGTGGCCCGCCACCAGGCGCACCAGGTAGCCGACAGACACGAAAAGGTAGCAGGCCGAGAGGAATATGATGGGCCGCTCCGGATACTTGAAGCGCTCCATGTCGATGAGGAAGGTGGAGACGGTGGCGAATGTGGACACGAAGCATAGTACAGACCATAGGCCAATCCAGAAGACGGTGAAGGCGCGCTCGTCCTGGCTGAAGAACGGGTTGTGGCAGGGCAACGCGCAGTTGGCGATCTGGCCCGTCTTGACGCGGTTGTAGAGAGGGTGCCGCTCGCTGGACACGCTCACCATGGGCGCGCGGCACTGGCATCCCGGCTCGCAGGGCGCCGCGCCGCCGCCAGGGGGCCGCGCCTTCCCGCCGCCGCCGCCGCCGCCGCCGCCGCCGCCGCGTGCAGGGGGTGCAGCCGCGTCCCCGCCGCCGCCCCTGCCGCGGGACGGGGGCCGGACCCCGGGTGGGCGGCCGTGGCCGCTGCCGGAGGGCGGCTGCTCACCGGGGGGCGGCGGCGGCGGGCGGCGCGGCGGGCTGGGCGCGGCCGTGGTGAGGTCGGTGCGGTTGTAGTCCATGCACAGCGTGTCGGGGTTGCCCTGCTCAGGCAGCCGGTCGCAGCGCATGCGGTCAGGCCAGGCGAAGCCGTACTGGCGCATGAGGGGCGCGCAGCCGGCCTTGGCGCGCTCGCACACCGAGCGGCAGGGAGGCAGGGGCTTCTTGTAGTCCTCTAGGCAGATGGGCGTGTACATGCTGCACAGGAAGAACTTGAGGTCGGGCGAGCACTGGATCTCCACCAGCGGCCAGAACTGGTGCACCTCCAGGCCCGCCTCGTCCTGCGTGTCGTGGTTGAACTGGTTGGGCATATAGGTGTAGTTGTAGCCGATACCCTTGCACAGCGGCACGGTGATCTCCTGGCACGCCAGTTCCTTGGCTGAGGCGGCCGCCGCACCGCTCGAGCGCTGCAGCAGCGCCAGGGCGGCCAGCAAAGAGGTCACTTCCAACAGGTAACCCCACTCCATGCTGCGCGCCTCGGCCCCGCGCCTTCGCCCTCCTGGCGGCGCGCGGAGGGGCGCCAGGGGCTCCTGCGAGAGCGCCGGGCTCTCTCCTGCCTCTCTCGGGAGGGGTTCTGCCAATAGCCTAGTCCCTTCTGGAGATGCGTCCTCTCGGAGCTGCGGGAGACGAGGGTGGCCGCCGAAGGGCACCGTGGTCCCAGGGTCTGCCCCGCTCACTCCCGCCGGGCTCAGCCCTCGCGGGACAGAGTGGCCGGCCCCCGGCTCATCTCTCCCTCCCTCGGTCGCTTTCTCCGCGCGCGCCGGTGACTCTGCCGGGCACTGAGGGCGGCGGCGCAGCAAGTTTCTTCTCGGGCCGCGGTGCGCAGTCAAGATGGCTGGGCCAGGCCGCTCTGAGCCGGGTCAGCCCCTGCAGCCCCCTTTCGGCGTCCCGGGGCTCATGCTCGCCCCCAAGGCCGCGCGGCTGCTGCCGGGGTTACGGGCTCGCCTCCGCCGAGGCCACGGCCCTCAGTCCCCGGCGTCTGTCCGTCGGTCAGTAGCCGGGATGACGGGCCCCGCCTCCGGTGAAGTCGCGCTCCGGCCGGCACTGGGGCGAGGTGTCGGTGGTTCCCTTCTCGCTGAACTCACGGAGGCAAATCCAGGCCGGAAGGCGGAGCAGACACCTGAGCGGCGCGCCCGCGCCCCGCCGCCGCCGCCGCCGCCGCCGCCGCCGCCGCCACCGCCACCGCCACCTCCTCGGCGGGAGCAGTGTCCCTCGCCAACTTCCCGCTCCGGCCCCGCTACGCCCAGGCCGGCTCATGAATATTTATACGGCGCGGACTCCGTCTCCGCCCGCGGCCGGCGCGCCAATCCTGGGCTCGGGGCGGAGTCTGCGCGCTCCCCAGGCCCCGCCTTCCTGGGGCGGACCCGCCTGTCCCCTCGGCGTTGCGCGCTGTCTGCGGCTGGAGTTTGGATAACCTTGGGGTTGACCGCAGAGACGGGTTTTGCCACGAACGTCCCCGCGGCGCTCTGTGGGGCTGAGGTCGGGGTTTCTTCACCCCGAGTCTGCGCTTGGGAACTGGGGAAGATTCTTTATGCAGCGCGCGCTTTCAGAGGCCAGTTTCGAACTAGTTAAGCCCCTGCTTCCTACGCTCCCCGAATGTGGGCAACCTGCTGGCGAGGGGACCCCGCGCCCCTCAGCCAGCCGGCGCGTGCGCGGGGGCTTTGCGGGGGAACGGGGAAGCGGTGCCCTTCTTGGGATTGTCAGAACGACGGTCTTGGAGGCTTGGCGATGTGGGAGGAATGGAATGACTGCAGTTCATTCTAGATGGTGGGGCTGGACAGGGGGCAGCCGGGGAAGAGGTACCAGGTAGCCCAAGGGCGCGCGCGCGAGGGGCGTGGGCACACGGGCGGGCGGGAAGAAAGGGGTCTCCTCTTGCCTCAGCTGAGGTACTTGAGGCAGCGTCAGTTTCCTTACCTGGAGAATGGGGTTCAGATCTCAAAGGGGGTTAGTTCGGATCTCAAAGGGGGTTCTGCTAATTAGGCTAGGTAAGATATATAAACCATCCGGACATATATAAAGCGCTCCCTTAAGAGATATAATTCCCTTTCTTCTTTAAAAAAGAAAAAACAGAAAGGGAGAAAGAAAAACTTATAGGACAGGCTGGAAACTCTGTGGCTGGATTCTCCCTCTTAGCCTCGCGCTTTTGGAACGTATGTGCGTCTCTCCAAAGTTGACATGTTTTTGCCAAAGCCTCCTCCTCCCCGTGGGAGGCGGCGCCGGGCCCTGGCGCGGACGCGCGGACACGTCTCCGCGGTGTTCCCGGGGCCGAGCGGCTGGGGACGCGGCCAGCGAGCGAGGCCCCCGCCAGCTCGTAGCCACCTTAGACGGGGAGGGGCCCGAGGGGCGGGCGGCCTGGCAGGTTCATTTACGCTTGTTAGGACGTCCCAGGGGGTTGTCTTTCTCCGAGAATGGAGTGTTTATTTTTTAATTGATGTGCTGTTTCATTTAGCGCTTGTATGGAACTCACGCTGGGGCTGTAATTACTGTAATCTCGGGAACAAGCATTTCAGTTAGCCAGGAGAGTGGCAGCAGACGTCTGTCTCTCTCCTCCTTTCCCTCTCCCCTCTCCATTCTCCCTCTCCGGCTGGAAAACTAAAGTTATTGAGGCTATGGGGACGAAGGAGAGGTATAACTAAAAGCTCGTTTGAGGCCAGGACTTTTTTTATTGGGTTGGGGGGGGGGGCGGGGGAGGAGGATGCGGTGGTGGTGGTAGTTGGTAATTACCTGTTTACAAACAACTCTTGTCGTGAAACAAAAATAACTAGCAGCATCTGTATATGCCAGGACCCTATGTCTCTCTCGTCCTGTTCTCTCTAGCTTAGTTTAGCAACCTCATTCTAATTAGAAAGATAAAATCTCCCAACCCCTCCCCCGCACCCCAGCCCCAGCCCTAATTTTTGGCAAGTTCAGTATTTCCACCAAGAATTCTAGGCAGAGCCACCAGGCTGTAGTCATACCCCCATTGTCCTTTTTCTTTTAAACTGGTTTATTTAGAACCTCTTTATACCAAAACAAAACACTTCCTTCGCATTTTTTGTTTTAGTAAAACTATACTGAATAGGAATCAGAAATTCTGAGGCTTCAGAAAGATTGGCTGATTCAGCAGAAAATGATCTCGAGTTTTCAAAAATGCAAAGACTCAACTGTTACTTGGTCTTTTAAAAGTGAATTTCTTTCCTTTCTCCGGATGGGAATTCCCTTTGTGGCATATGGAACGCAGAATGTCACCTCTATCCTGTTGGCATCCTTTTCAAGCCATGGCCATACTCCAGAATATTCAGCTGCAGAAAAACAGCAGGTGATACCTGGAGATATGATGCTAAGCACAGTAGAAAGGCAAATCACCCAGTTTGAGGACCAGCCTGGGCCCTGCCTCCCCCTGACCACAGATAGGAGGCGCTTGCTTCCAAAAGCAACATAGACACTTTCTTATGATTTTCTTCAGCAGGAAATGTCAAATAGTGGAGTTTAGAATTACACTATATAAATTTACTTGAATTGGGTAAAAACAAATTGACATTTGAAAGTTGAGGTTGCAAATAGTTGATTTTGGCTTTTAATTAGCATTAAAAAAATTTTTTTTTCCCCTTTTGAGACGGGATGAAAGCTCTGATGATGTGGAATGTGGAAATTTGGGGAAAATATATTAAGCTTGCTGGAGAAAAGCAGACAAAAAGTTCAGAGCTTTCAAAAATCATTTATCAGCTATTGAGTGTGAGATTAAAACCATTTACATAAAATCATTAAATGCTTACTTTTAATTGAGAGAATAGAAGAATAGCATTTACTATTAAATTAAATGGATACTTGGCAATCTTTGAGAGCAGAAGAGGCTTAGGAAGCCAATTAGTGTATAAAAGGCAATGATGGGTCAGCAAAAAGAAACTAGGATCATTTATCAACATCCTGGCTAAATAATGATTTTTCTTTTGTATGTAAAGCAGCTGCTTTTTAAGGGAGGGAAAATAGCTTTAGTAGTGACATAAATAATGTAGGGAACTTTCTAGAGGGATTTCTCAACAGATGTCTGGTTACTGAATAGCCCAGGAGCATAATGATATAAACAAGTTGAAGGTATGAATCTAACAGAGAGGAGAGGATGTTAAAAAAAAATTGGATACCTAGTTAGATGATTGACTATCAATATATTGTAAGTAGTGAACTTAAGAAACTTTGATGAATTATGTTTCAGTGAATTTTAATTTAAAAGTCCAACCTAAAATTCTTGATCAGGAAGACCATCCAAGTCTATATTATTACAGAATATTAAACTCTATCAAATAATATTGATGTTTCTTGATGTTTTAGAATCTGTCTTTCAAAGGCTTATGCCTTGAGACACCCAACCACAGATGGAAGGAAAGGTAGAGATTAATTGGTCTTGCTTCAAGCTCTGTTAGAATTAAAATGGGTGAGATTACTTTTATATCCTTCCATATCTATAATTAACTCCATTAAAGGGCTTCCATTTTCTCCACCACCAAGAGAAGGACTCTGCAAGGAGGAAGTACCCCTTGCCATGTCTGCTGTAAGATAACTGAGGCAAACAAGTGCCACTGGCCAGGAGTCAGATTTCCACTTTACATGCAGCAGCCATTTTGGAAAATGGTACCTGCACTGTCATTTAATTGGATAATTATTGTGAAATATGTTTTAAAAATCAGCCGTTGATTTTCCCACTTCATTCACACTGATGTATTAGCCAGATGCTGAGACTCTTACGATGCAGAATGCCTTGTGCGTGAGTTTGGGAACTTTCAGATGAATAAAGATCTCCTAAGTAAAACTGGCAGAGTCAAGAAGGAAACATCTAGTCTCACGTATCAGTCCATCTGTAAGCAAGGAGTTCCACCATTGGTTCACATTGGGACAGCAGTGATAGACCTGCAGGTCTGCTCTAGTCTCTTGGCCTCCCCTTGGATTGCATGGGGCCTCCCATTGCTGAATCACGAACTTTCAAAGGACAGCAGGCCAAGGCAGGAAGAATGGCAGGACCTCCCACTATTAGAGAAAATCCTTCCCCTTAGGTTACACTGGTCTGAACCTGTCACACCGGTCTTAGCCACGAGGAAGGCTCAGCAGGTGAGGGTCCGGTGGGCCGCCCGTGGTGGTCAGGCTCTCATGGCCTGAAGCTGCCAAGGGGAGGAGGGCTGTTGAGCAGACTCACAGTGGTCAACCACATGTTCCTATGGGAAATTAACTTTCAAGTGATATCGTTTACCAACACGCCTAGTCTTCCAGAGTATTTTGTTCAGGGCTATAAATTAAGTATGATCTCGATCCAAGAAAACCTTGATATTTACTTTTTTATTTTTCCTTTTGAAGTACTCTGTACAGTGGTGTGAATTAAATGTCAAACAGTTTACTACTTATTTTATTTATAATGTGTATAAACTGTGTAGTGTAACTCTTCAGTTGCTTTTTGTTAAGCTCCTCCCTTCCTGTTTGTACACTTCCTTAAAAACATGGAGACAATTCTGGAATTTTAGGTCTTTTTTCTTTTCTTTTTTTTTTTTTAAGTCTTATGTAACTTTTTTATATTGACAAACTTAAATAATGTAGGAGAAATGATGTTATGCCCCACCTCTGAAGGGCTTATGGATGAGAAAGAACTTTTCTATCAAAAAATTTTGGTGCAAGCGTTTACTTCTGGTAACACTGATCCATTTAAATGGTGGCCTGAAATGATAAAATTTACATTAGTAATATGAATGAAATTAAAAGGACCCTGAGGGCATGGAGGTGGTGCTGGTCATAAAGACATTTCTATTTTCTCTTTAGCCCAATCCAGTTTGGATCAGGCAGCCCTGCTGAATCACAGCTCAGTTATTCCCTTCCTGTGCCAGCAGGTAACCTATGACCTCTCTGAGATTTACTTCCTCATGCATAATGTATAGAATGACAAATACAAGAGTCCTTACAAGCCTTGAGGGTTAGATGAGCTAAAAGCTTAAAACTTGGCTCAGATGCAATGCAGGAGACTCAAGTTCGATCCCTGGGTCAGGAAGATCCCCTGGAGGAAGGAATGATGACTACCCACTCCCATATTCTTGCCTGGAGAATTCCAAGGACAGAGAAGCCTGGTGGCTACGGTCTATGGGATCCCAAAGAGTAGGACATGACTGAGCACAGCACAGTATCTGGACTTTGATGCATGAATTGAGCTTTGCAAGAGTTTACTCTGAATGTGCAGAGTGATATGAAATGTATCTATTGATTACAGAAATAACCACAGAAAGAAATTATCTGTACCTTTCATTAAAATTTCACCTGACCTAGTCGAGTCCACACATAAACTTAACCATCACAGACATCCTTTTTTACTGGGAATACACAGGGCTCAGCCACAGATCCACAACCACAATGCCATTCGATGAAAGTATCTATAAAATACACAGAAATAATCTTAAAGAACAGTGAAATAGGCCTGAGAGAGCTGGAAAGGCCTTCGTATAGTTTTTTAGAGCGTGGTCAGCAGTTTGCTAATTTGAGGGAGGTAGAAAGTTTGAAGCAGGTGGCAATGCATTTTACAGATTGCAAAGATGAAATAACCTTTGCCTTGGTTACATTTGTTGGTGAAACAGCAAAAGCCATGTTGAACAGAAACATTTTGACTCTTTGACGTGTATTCAATCAGTTGACAAAATGTGCTCCTTTGATGAGATTGCATCTGGACCTGGACTTCAGTATGTGTTACTATGTTTTCAGCTTCTAGTAATGGGAAGCTCAGCATAGTGGTGGGGAGGACACACTGTCTCACATACCCCAGATCTGGGGTTGGGGGTGGGGGTGGCTGTGGAGCTGGTTGGTGCTGTCTTCCGTGATGCCATCAAGATCCAGATCTTTCCACTTTCTTGCTCTGTCTGCCTCTGTGGTGGTGAGTCCCCCTCCTGGTTGCAAGGTAGTGACAAATTAAAGCTCACATCCTCACATATCGACATTGAGAGGAAGAAAGAGGAACATTCCTCAGCCTGTGTTTCTTTGCAAGAGCCAGAAGGTTCTCCTGGTAGGGACATCCTTTTATTCCTTGTGGGTCAGAACTGGGTGACAGGCCATGTCACTATGCCCTGACCTGACCAAGGAGGGACCACTTGAGCCAAACTGGGGCTTTGCCAGCAAGGGAGAGGGTCGGTAAATAGGCTTGGGTGGTGACCAGGGGTGTCTGCTGAAACCCGAGGCCTGTCTCAGATCACATAAGGGGCCAGTATCTCTTGAAGACCAAAGCTTGCTGCCCAAGGTCTGATGTTGATAGTCTGGTCCTCTCGGTAGAAGATGCTTATGCCCTGGGTGTGTCAATCATCAGCAAAGTTCAAGG